TGGGGAATGGTTAAAGGACTGATATTTGGGTACTTAATGAATTGTCACAATTATTTTATTTATTTATTTTTTTTTTTGTTTTAGAGTTTAGGGTGCCTTTTGTACGCCATGTGCTATTTTAAGTCCCCCTACGATATTGTTTACGAAAGGGGGGACTCGGTGGCACTGGCGGTCCTTTCTGGTACCGTCTCATTCCCGGAAGGATCCCCATATCCCGAGGTAATTAATTTTATTAATAGTTAATAAAAACGCCTACCCCCTTGCATTATTTTTTTTTCTTATAATTTTTAGAACATTCACAACTTAATTTTGTTTATGCTGAAGATAGATTATAACGAACGCCCTTACATACACGCGGTCATCGAAAAATTGGATGATGTAATCAATCAAGTCGAAAATAAAGTCTAAAACAAAAGCGGCTTACTAAGTGTATTGTTGATAAACAATCGAAACCAAAAAAAAGGGATTCCGTTTGTCTCTTTTTTTTGTAACAAACTACGTCAATTGACACATTTGTAAGACATACCACTTATAAAATATTTTATACCTAATGTTGTTAATATTGTGCGATGACGAAAAATAAATTATTTTTTATTTAATCCCCTTTGCCTATTTATTCTGCGCCTATTACAAAAATAAAAAAAGGCGTTTTGTATACGTAATATTAATTTTTTCTCTTTTCTTTTTATAAAATAATAATATACAAAAACTTTTTTACATTATAGGTACATATAAAAAATAGTAAAATGGATCTACTTATTATCTAAAAATGTTAAAGCTTGTGTTCGTTTTAATCTACAAATATATCTTTCAAAGGAACCTTAGTGAACAAACGATTCGCTATCTCCCTCAAAACCAATCCAAAAGATTGTTCGTAGCCGCTTTTTAAGTCCCCAAAAACTTGCTCCCAATTTTCATTCAGGACTTTGTTCAATTCGTTGCCCAGTCGTTCGTCGCCGTTAAACAAATTGTCGAAGTGAAATTTCACAAGTTCGGGATATAATTCAATTTTGTACTCTTTTAATCTCATATAATCCTTTCCTTTCTTCTGAATCGGCTCCCCATGTAACGTGTGCACCGTTTTTACGTTATCTGAAACAAAATGCGTTAGTATGCACAATAGCCAAACGATATTGTACCACAACTTTTTGAAAATCCCTCGTATGCACATAAATTTTATTTCTCTTCGTTTGTCAAAAATAAACAAATGAATTTAATCGTTTGTCGCCTCTTGTTTCTTAGTACAATAACTTATTGTACGTACCTTGTATAGAGTGAAAGGGACTTTAACTGCGAAAATTGCAGTTGCATTCACATAAATTAATAATTGTATGTGTAAATAGAAAAACTTACAATGACGTAACAATTTAACTTGAAAAAATCGTAGGTGGTACAAACGACTTGCGCAAACAGAGAGCGAAGAAAGTTTGAAATAAAACAAATATACGTAAGTCTATTATTTAACGTACACATTGTAAAATTACAACGTCCTTTCCCTTGTATGGGTAAAACGAGAACCCTGCCACTGGCCACATAATCGGCCTCTAATCTCAATTCTGGCGATACCGATTCCGTATACAGTTGATATTTGTCTAAAGTTGCGCTAAAACAAATTAAATTACAAAAATATGTAAAGTGAAGCGGACGACATAAAAAAGTAATTTGATTTAAATTATTTTACATGTTTTTGTCATTCAAACCTTGTACGCCTTGTCTACTTGTTAGACCCGTTCACATATGAAGAATGCTTAATATTAGTATTTTATAAAACAAACGCAATTTTAAACAATGGAACATCAAAACGTTATAAATAAACAATTGCACATCAATTACATTGCGTAGGTACCTACGACTTATTATTTATGAGAAGTTTTCTTTGTTGACCTTAATTTTTTGAAATATTTTACCTTAAGTTACAAGGTAAGCCACAATTATGAAAAGTTTTGTCAGTTTTAAACAAATTAAATAAAAAATATTTGCTTACACATATTTCAGAATTTTTGAATTCGTAAGGCCATGTAACTCAATATTTTTCAAATCCTGTTTTATGGACACCGGTCCTGAACTTTCGCCAAAATTCATCTGAGGTATTCGCAAAGGTTCTAAAGACGGTAACCCTAATTCAGAATTTCCTAAAATGACACTTTTATTATTAAAAAAAGACAACTAAATATTAGGTATAGTACCATTTGCCAATTGTTTAATAGCATCAATGACATTCACTTGTAGACATTCGTTTAATTTTGGGTCATTTCTTTTGCATTTCGAGAATGAACTTGCTAAAAATGATATTATANACTACTACCACTACTACTACTAGCAGTTGACTTGTCGAGTTGTTACCTTAACTAGATTCACTATAATAACGCAATTAACTATTGAATCGAGAACAGCACAAATTTGTAACATGTAGATGCATATAACTGGACCAAAGTTACCATTTTAATTATGAATAGAAGCACGGTTGTCTTTAATTGGTACACTAAGGTGCCAAATACAACAAACGTATGTAGATGCCTTATAGATTTCTCTGATATTTCCAATTTTGAATGCTGGTCACAATGATTAGGCGTATAGTTAGTTCACTTAGAGAAAGGTACAGCGTGGACGATGCGGGACCCCGTTAGTAATATAACCGGTTGTTTACCGTCAGATGTTTCCGATCGAAGGCCAACCGGAAGTCTCCGGCGCCTCGAATAATCAGCATAGTGTACCTTTCTCTAAGTGAACGAAAACTACTATAGATTTAACAGTGTCCTCTTACAATAATGTTTTGAACTAAAGCCTGACAGTACCTTAGAACCGTAGGTAATAAAAATTTGCTAATATGACTAAATACACCCCTGTAACTACTGTTACAGGTTGAAAATACTAAGTAAATTTCAAAAATTCCACATACGGCTGATTAATTTGGATTTAAAAGCTAACAGGAGTAATTTTTGCGCTGGTTTCTTTGATTATAAGACAAAACAATCTACCTTCGGTTATGAATAAGTTAATTAAGAGAAAAACGACGTCGTGTCAAAGATTAAAAAAAAAAAAATAAACTCGAAATGAAAAAAAATGAACGTATTACGACCTGACAGCGAACGTTAAATTGGAACAGTCGCTGTCGTTTTAAAAATGAAAGCTTTACAACGGGATTAACAATCTTCGTCCTATTCAAAAAAGCGCCGCCTGATGCCGGGACGACGTCTACCGACGCGACGTCGCGGTGCACTCAAAAGGGAATATTTTATTCCATTTAGCTCCGGGCAGAAAGTAGATTTTATATTTCATTCTCCTCGGCCTTTACCAGCAAAATTAAAAGTCGCTTCTTCCTTAGCTACAATTACATCTCCAACTTCTTGGAAAAACCGTCGCAAAAATTCACGTACCTGTACAGGGCGTGCAGGTAATCCAATTCCATCTCCGACAACAGCTTAAGCGTCGTTTCTCTTTCATCTTCGCTTATTTACCTGCATGTTGCATTATTTGTTCACATAAAAGCGCTGTACGTTAAGTTATCTATATCTTCTTCAAAGAATTCGAAAGAATCTAGAAAGACATTTTATTTTCTACAGGAATATGACACAGATGAATAAATAATGGCATTTCACTGAAATAGCAACGACTAATTAACCTAACCAGACCTGAAAGCTTTATTCACCGAAAGCTTGGAATTTTCCTCGTTTTGTCGCCTCCTACGACACGCTGAGACTTGGCGGTGAGACTATTCTAAAACCCCGGTCTCACACGGGGAATATATCGGTGTAAATATCTGTCAAAATATCTGAGAGCTTTATTCACTGAAAGCTTGGAATTTGCCTCGTTTTATCGCTTCCTATGACACGCTAAGACTTAGCGGTGAGACTATTCTAAAACTCCAGTCTCACACGGGGAATATATTGGTATAAGTATCTGTCAAAAACATTTAAGACGTTTATTCACCGAAACATAGGAAATTGCCTCGTTTTGTCGCCCTCTATGACAGGCTAAGACTTAGCTGTGAGACTATTCTACAACCCCGGTCTCATACGTCACCACAGTATCGGTGTAAGTATCTGTCAAAAGTATCTGACAGCTTTATTCACCCAAAGCTCGGAAATTGCCTCGTCTTGTCGCCTCCTACGACACGCTGAGACCGAGCGGTGAGACTATTCTAAAACCCCGGTCTCACACGGGGAATATATCGGTGTAAGTATCTGTCAAAAATATCTGAGACCTTTATTCACCGAAAGCTTGAAATTTGTCTCGTTTTGTCGCTTCCTATGACAGACTAAGACTTAACGGTGAGACTATTCTAAAACCCCGGTCTCACACGGGGAATATATCGGTGTAAGTATCTGTCAAAAATATCTGAGACCTTTATTCACCGAAAGCTTGAAATTTGTCTCGTTTTGTCGCTTCCTATGACACGCTAAGACTTAGCGGTGAGACTATTCTAAAACTCCAATCTCAGACGGGGAATATATCGGTGTAAGTATCTGTCAAAAACATCTAAGACCTTTATTTACCGAAACCTAGGAAATTGCCTCGTTTTGTCGCCTCCTATGACAGACTAAGACTTAACGGTGAGACTATTCTAAAACCCCGATCTCACACGGGGAATATATCGGTGTAAGTATCTGTCAAAAATATCTGAGAGCTTTATTCACCGAAAGCACGGAATTTGTCTCGTTTTGTCGCCTCCTACGACACGCTGAGACTTGGCGGTGAGACTATTCTAAAACCCCGGTCTCACACGGGGAAAATATCGGTGTAAATATCTGTCAAAAACTATTAGCTTTCATTCTTTAATCCTTTATTTACAAGATTAAAAATTCTGATACATTAAATACAGTAACATTTACAATTAGATAATAATTACAAAGAAAATAAAAAGTNACAATATACAGGGTGATCAATAATATTAATTTTTGCAAAATATCGTAGGTATAATCTTGTTTTTCTTTAATGATAATGAGGTCAAACAAATGGAATTTTTCCCATTGCATAAATTAAAACTTCGTAATTACCTATTAATAATTTATTGAGAAAGAAAACTTCCTTTAAAGAAATGTACAACGGCAACCTTGATGTTGTATACTATTTAATTTGAACTCACGAACAGGAAGAAATGCAAAAAAAAAGATTTAAAAAACCTTCATTTCATAGTTTACAAATATACCCCATACATTCAATAAGGAAATAGCCACTCAAAATCAAGACACCCTCTATATTGTCTTAGTTTTTCGAAAACATTTAGAAAGACCCTTGTATAAAAGTAATTTTTAATATAAGCCTACGGCATTTATTAATTTTCGCCCCTTTGGTCCAAATATAAGCAGTTTCAAATTGCTACATGTTTATTTTCCACAGCATATGTATTTCATGGTCAAATCTAAGGTTAATAGTCGAAAGAGATGCAATTTTTATAATTACAATAATTAACTTTCGTCAATTAATTTCAAATTCATTTTCAATTCAAATTACACAATATAAATCACTGATGGTTTCTAATTTTATTGTCAGATTCTTGATTTGCTAATTTATTTTATTGACTGATAGTAATAATTGAAGCAAGAACAGATGACAAAGTATTAATTAAAAAGAAAACAAAAAGTTTTTACTATTTACGAAAAAAAAAAAGAGTAGAAACAAAAGAAAAGCTTTACAAAAAAACAAAAGAAAATGCTGACTAAAAGAATGAATAAAGGCGAAACTATTAATATTTGTATCGATTTTAGAGTGTTTCTAATTTATTTCATTGGAATAAGGTAATTAAACTTAATCCCTGTTTAACTTTAACAAAAATCTATTATAAATTATCCAGTAAATGACGTCTGGGGAGGTATATTAAAATTGAATTTTCTCTTATCTCATTTAACGTCAGTACGTTAATCGTAATTACCTGAGGTTAAATTAAATATGGCTAATTAATAATTATTATCACCACAAACCGAGTAAGTTTGAAATAAAATAAACGTTCATCTTTAAAAACATTTTAGTAATTTACACCTTTAAACACCAACTAATATACGGTTAATTTATTATTTCACGCATTTTTTGGTGTAATTATTATCAATTTTAAACATCTATTTAATTTGCAATTAGTTAACCATTCTATACATGGGGAATTAATTCAATTTTTTATTATTGTAATACGTTTTACGAAGAATTAGAATTTGTAGAAAGTATTATGAACTTTTATTACATAAACAGTGGATTAATGGTAGGTAATTAATTTTTTATGGATAAGAAAACACTAACTCGAACATTGGTTAACCGAAAAAAAGGTTTTTGTAGGTTTATTTTTTCTTGGAAGAGTAATTTTATTCATATTATTACGGTTTATGGAGATCAAGTTATGTAACCCGTAATACAACAGTGAATAGTATATATATTACTCAAGTAATTAATGTTAATCGAAATTAGAAATAAATACAGTAAAAGAAATTTAAAATTTGCATCAAAATTAAAAAGTGGATCTCTCTCAAAAATACGTAACAACAAAAAAAGGGACACATTACGACAGTCTTTTGTTAAAAGTTGATACATATTATATTAATTCAAATTAGAAACAAATGAAATAGAAACAAAATTAAAATTTGAATCAGAAAACTTTACACTTAAGCACTTAAATATCGCGATATGGAGTAAGTAATAGAATGAATCAAGTAACTTCAGTTTAAATAAAAAATATACCTAATTAAATTAAAACAGAAGGAAATCCCCACATCTAATACAACTAAAACTAATTACCATTCAACAGTATCCGCAACAAGATCAGTTGTTTAAAACAAGTTCTTGTACAGTTAGTTCATGTACAAGTTGAAATCATTCTGCAGTGCTTTTTTTAAAAATACTTACTAAAGAATATGTTACACCTCCAAAGCCAAATTATTTGTAAGTGCATTTTGTATATTAGCTTAGCTTCGTATTTATACGTTTGTGGTGAAGATAATAAGAAAAAATAAAATTACTACTAAACCATGGTAAAATATACCACACTCTTTGCATNATAGAAACAAAATTAAAATTTGAATCAAAATTAAAAAGTGAATCTATGAAAAATACGTAACAACAAAAATGAACACATTACGATAGTCCTTTGTTAAAAATTGATACATATTATGTTAATTGAAATTAGAAACAAATGAAATAGAAACAAAATTAAAATTTGAATCAGAAAACTTTACACTTAAGCACTTAAATATCGCGATATGGAGTAAGTAATAGAATGAATCAAGTAACTTCAGTTTAAATAAAAAATATACCTAATTAAATTAAAACAGAAGGAAATCCCCACATCTAATACAACTAAAACTAATTACCATTCAACAGTATCCGCAACAAGATCAGTTGTTTAAAACAAGTTCTTGTACAGTTAGTTCATGTACAAGTTGAAATCATTCTGCAGTGCTTTTTTTAAAAATACTTACTAAAGAATATGTTACACCTCCAAAGCCAAATTATTTGTAAGTGCATTTTGTATATTAGCTTAGCTTCGTATTTATACGTTTGTGGTGAAGATAATAAGAAAAAATAAAATTACTACTAAACCATGGTAAAATATACCACACTCTTTGCATAAGTAATAAATTTGTTGTTTTTTCTTATATTGCAATACACCTGCTAGAAATAATAATAAGTTTTCTCATATAATTGATTCATTTGTGACGCATCTAATTGTACTTGCAAATTTAATCAAACCTTGCATACATGTGCTAAAGAAACGAATGGAGAATTAGTCGTTAAAAAATTAATAACAATAATAATATTAGAATTTAGAAATGTTCGTATCATAGGGGTGCCTCGTACTAGTGTTGTATGAANTTAATACCAATTATTTATCAGGAGAAACACATTTAAATTGTAGGTTACAAACAAAAGAAGACGTAATAAACAAACAAATAATCAGCGAAATCTACGGGCTTTGTTTTGAACCTTATAGTAATTGAAATTACCCAAAAAATTAAGAGCAATTTTTAAAAAAATTATACTAAGAATAAAACAATAATTAGATAGTAAAACCAAAACAATCATATAAATATAAATACTATTTTTAATCCCTACGTCTCCACCTTTGTGTTTTTAGTAGCATTTTTACTGAATCTGCCTAGAAAAAGTGATCAACAAAATGGCGCAGGATTCGTCTGGCAGAGTCGCCCTCTGGCTGCCGCGAATGGCGAACTTTCAAACATAATTTTCGACGATTCAGAGCGAAATTCAAAGCCTTTTGTACCTGCTCAAGCCAGTAGATCGATTAATTTTGAAAAAGATTCTTCTGACTTCGTCTTTCCCAGTGACGACAACAACAACAATCAAAATTACCCATTTCAACAACAAACTAACACCAATACCAATAATGAAAATGAGGGCCGCCAATTTATGGGAAACGTCCCCAATACAACACCCAATCGACCCGGAAGTCAGGTTTCCGAAAATGCTAGAAAAATATGCGAACAAAATTGCTTGAGTACGAGCCAGTACGACCCTGTTTGTGGGGATGATCAAAAAACATATCACAACGAAGGAAAACTGCGGTGTGCCCAAAGGTGTGGCAAAAGTATGTAGACATACTAAACAAGCATCGAAAAACTTTTTTTTTTATTTTGTTTTTTGTTGCAGACGTTCGAATCATATCTAGAGTACCATGCGGAAAATAAATCAATTAAAAATGTAAATTTAACTAATGAATTTAATTTGACAGGGTCATTTTATTTATTTTATTAAGTAAGTACTGCTGATAACGTATTATACGTATTTATTATTAATAATAATAAAGGTCTACTTAAGATTTTATCGCATTTAATAATTTTATTGATTATTTTACTTATTTTAATAAAGTACCTAGTGATTAAAAATCATTCATTTCCACATGCTTATTCCATTTGGAAATAAACAGTTGGAAAAAAGCAAGCGAGTCTAAATGTGTTTGTCCGAGTGTACGGTTGGTTGCATATTACATATTATAGCAATTCATGAAATAACAGCACTTGGCTTTGTTTCACTATAAAAATAATAATAGTGAAACAAAACCAAGTGCTGTTATTTCATGAATTATTTTGAAAAATGTTTCACCAAGAGCTAAGCCAAGTTACAATTAATATCAACATATTATAAGTTTACATAGGCTCAGCTAGTTTATAATGATCTTCAACTTTACCAAAAACAATTGCGGATTATCAAGTTTGTTTAGGAATAAAAAAAAGAATAAAAACAAACAACAGTTTCCTTTTATTCGTCAAGATTTATAGTCTTTTTTTTTACATTGAGTACCAAAACAAAAGACAAGAGGCACCGTCAATAAAATCAAACTTCTTCATTCGCCAGTCTCCAGTAAGGATAACCTTTGGTGTGCTCTTTCTTGTCGGTCAAGGACCCCACACAAACTTTCAGGGCAAATAAGGACAAAAAAATAAAACAAATCAGTCCAATTAAAACGACGATAGTCAAAGGTTCGAAATCGTAATCCTCTGTATTACACTCGTTCTGCCACGTTTGGGCATCGATAACAAGTGGCTCGACGATCTTCAGGAATTTATCGAAAGGACAATTGAATTCGCAGTCCTTTAATTTCATTTGTTGAGGAACAGTAGAATTTTTGTAAAAAATATTCACGAAATACTCGCTTTTAAGCGATCTTAATTCGATCAATATTGTACTCGCGTATGGCGGACAGTGGTATTGAAAAAGCTTTAGACTTTGCAAAACGTTCGCGATTGTTATGTCGTGAGCAGAATAAATCCAAAACTTTCGGGACTTCACTTCCGGTTGTTCGATTTTTTCAAAATGTCCGTTAGAACTTACACTCGTATTTTTAATTTCGTTATTATTCTCCTCTGGCCTTTCCAAGTAAGAAATGCGTTCTTTAAAATGATTTACCATTTCCGTTATCAAAGGTCCTGTTTTTAGTCTGGCCAGATCCTCGGTGAACGAAAGAGTGGCAAAACTCAACTCTGCGAACGGTCTCATTTTTTTAGGATAAACTGGCACGGTCCAATTGGGCAAAGTAAAATTAAAAATGGTCTCGATAAACAGGGTGTTATACAAACTCTCTAATGTCTCTAAACTGTTAACCAGTGATCCCGAATAACGAGTCAAGTAGGCGTAGAGATCGTGATTTTTCCTGTTAATGTTAACGAAATCCGGTGACTTCAGGAGATCCCTCAGGAGCCTGTTGTATTTAACGCAGGGCTTTTTACCTGAAAGGACGTAGTCTTCTTTCTCGGGAATGGTGTGAACGGGGATGGGTTGCCATTGCAACCCTTGGTCCCAGACCTGATCGCCGGAAGGCGGGTACAGACCAGCCAGATTCGCCTCGGCCGACATCAGCGTCCTGTCGACGTCCGTCGACCTGACGTAGATGTCTTTCTCGGAATATTTGTCGGGAAGGAACCCGTCATACCGCGACCTCAACCACTGACCTAACCGCAACTGTCTCCTTTTACCAACCTTTATGTGAAAGGAAAACTAAATTCAGTGTCGAAAAGTCAAGACAAAAAAAATATGTTAAAATGACGCATTAAAATAGATTTTTACTTTATAATTAAAACTCAATATTAACTGTGAAACACTTTGTAAGGGTTAATTTCAATAGGTACAATAAAGTGAATTAACTTCTACCCGTTATAGATTAGCTCAAATTAATAAGAAAAAAATGTAGTTGCAGTCAAGCCTTCGCCGAGAATCGAACTCGAGCTACAAGAGGTGACAGCAATGATAACGACAATATATAATCATAACGCATAAACAATAAAACATTTTGAAGAATTTTTTCTATTTTTCCTCACTAATCTGTGATAATCTGTAGTGGATTATAATTAATTCACTACGTGAAAATTAATAAAAATTGGCTTTCAATTACAAAGTGAATTTTCACTCTCTTAACAAGTAAGCTAATATAAGGTTAACAATATTTTTTTATTTCAATCCACTCACTGTGCCCCCACATTCCCAATCCCATGCGCCGCCACTGTCTACATTTCACCTTTCACGCTGACATCCACGTGTCATAATAAATCAACTTATTTATCTAATAACAATCATTAAAATAAATTATTCTTACAGATGTCAACTGGCCAAACCCCACGGGCCATAACGATTCGTTTTTGTACGGGTCATTCGGGTACGGCTGTACAGGGGTCCTGTCGCCGTGTCTAAATATCTAAAAAAAAAAACACCCCCCGCCTAAGCCGAAATAGCAATAAATAAAGTAAAAAAAAAACTCACCACAATAACACCTACAAGTTCGCTTACACCTGTTGCATTAAAGTCAGTCTCACATTTAACAAGAGTGGTAGAAAAAACAATAAATAGAGACAGGGTAACTATTTTACACAGCCTGGACATGGTTTTAAAACAATGTTGTTGTTAGTTTTTCACATTTATGGTATTGGAAAATGAAATTCTATGTTACTGAGGCCTGTGAAAGGCGAAAAAAGAATCTTGCGAGTAATTTATCTATCTATCTAAAGTAATCATTAAATCTACAGGTAAACCTAATCAAAAATGACTAAATAGGTGACAAACAGTTGTTGTAATAATAACAATAAATTGAATGTTTAACACAAGCGTATCTAGCATCTAAGTGACTACCAACGTGGATACCAACTTTTACTTTCTCCTTAGTTATTTAATACCAACCTTTCGAGTTGTTACCGTTACTACTTTAACTTGGAGAACATCAAGAAATATGCATACAGGGTGTACAAAGGAAGTAAACCCAAGGCAAGTATTTACATATAGGTATAACAATAAAAAAGTACATCCACGATTTTTAAAAAAAGAAAAATTATCTAATGCAATTTAAATTTTACGTTTCGCTGGTTTTAAATTAAATAAGAGTCTGCAAAATGATTTTGATACTTCTTATATATTTTATATAAGATTATATAATACAATATATTACAGACAATTAAACAAATTTTCATTCCTAATCATGGGGACGTGAATTTTTAGAAAGCAAAATGTATAACTTCAATCCAAAAGTAAAACAGTCTGATAGTTTCGATTGTATGGATAATAGTACCTGCCTATAATTGGTTAATAAACAGTTTTTGAGACTCAACCAGATACATTGTGTATCTATTTTTAACTACCTATATCCTATCTGATACTTATCATTACAAAAAAATTATAAAATTATGTGTAATTACAGATTCAAGATAAAAAAAACGCATCATCTACAAATGAATTAAAAATGCTATTAAAAAATCAGTAAAAGCTTAGTTTCTATCACAGTAAAATGAACTCAAAAAAAATACTAGTCTTCGCGGTAAGTATAATATCTGCATTCATATCCATTAAAAAAAATATTTCTTTTTGTTTAAGATAACTATGTTATTTATTACCACCGCATTTTGCGAGGAGATTGTCCCTAAAAAATCTTGTTTTTGGATATACTACAGAAGAAGAACTACCACCAACTATCCCACACGTAAAACACAATAAAACTTTTCAAAATTCAATTAAATCTAATTAAATTAATTAAAGCTTCAACCCCCGCAAGTGTATCTACTGATAGTGGTGATGATAGAACACCAAAGATGGCAGCAACTTCTTCTATTTCTACCACCACCAGCAGCAGCAGCAGTACCACCCCTGTCGTAACAACAACTTCCGAAGACACCAGAGAAGAAACTACCCCAAATGTTTCTCCCGACACTACCACCGAATACAATGATGACGATAACTAAATAAATATATTAATTGTTTGCGATCACCCTGTTTATGTATAATTACTGATAACAGTTGTAATTTTTACAAATCTACCTACCTAAATATGTTGTTTTTTATTTTTTTTTATCGTCGGTGGCAACAAAAGTATTTAAAACAAAAATTTCCGTTCGATTAATAAGAGGAAGTAAATTTTACTTCCCGGATGTAGGTAAGCCTGGTAGAACAAACATGTCCTAACAATTCCTGGTTAAGTATTGATTTTAGGTTTCTCTTCCAGGGATCACAAGATCGAATAAATGAAGATATAATAATGGAAAATACTGTGAAAAAGTTAGAAGAACAAGTTAGTATGTTAGTTGTGTATACACACTAGATGCATGACCTTTTAAAAAATGTCATCCCTAACTTTTCCCTGTAACACTTTCAAATCTGTGTATTTGAAATTATAAACTACTATATGTACAATCTATATCCTCAATCTTCATATTTACGTTTAAGTTAGACAATTATTGCTTTACCGACAATTTTTTTAATTTGTAATAACCATTTTTCGCTGATGAAATATATTGAAAACAAATCAAGCTAAATTTCTTCGAGTAATACATTTTTCTGAATTCGCAATATTTTAACGTACTCAACTTGAATAACGAATACAGTTACGTCTAAAGAAGTCCCTAATCGGACGGCGAAACGTTGGAATATTGGTAATTTAGAAAAATATATTGTCTGAACAAATTCAGATTGATTTGCTTTTAATTTTTGTCTCGAATGGTTGTTGTTAAGTCTACCATTAATAAACCTTAGAATCTTAGATGACGATGAAATTAATAGAAATTTGAATCTCGACGTACCGAAAAATTCGAGTCAGAGAAATTTGAGTCAATGAATTGGAACTGATCCGAGTCATTGCAAAGATTAGACTTGTACAAATGTGTTAGTGTGTTTATAGGGTGTCAATTTGGGAAGGGGGGAGGGGGTAGGCGAGGGATTGAAGACTCATAAAAACTTGGATAGAAAGGAGACAAAAAGTATGTTATTTTTAGGTTAAAGAGACCGACGAAACGTTGGGCAGCATAGCGACAAAAGTTGGCAACGTTCAAAAAGAGATCTGCCGAGAAGGGACAAAGATCGAAGTGAACAAGCTTCTGCAGTCGGTACACGACGTGAAAAACGACTACCAAAATCTGCGGAAAGAGATCTCGGAGGTCCAGGACTTACAGAAACAGTTAAGTACGTCCCTGCAAGTACAGCGTCGGCTTATGCAAACAAAGTTTTCGTTGCTTAAACAGAGATTGCTAATGAATGTGCCTCAGAAACATTTGAGTGTGCCTCCTCATGTCACCCCTCATCGTAACGCTAGCGATAACAGTAATTCGGCTTTGTCCCCGAAAATGATACACCATGGGGACTGACCATAAGCTTATCCCTTAAGGCGACCACAATACTTGTCTATTACTAAGTCATGCGTCGCCTGTTTTTATGTAGTTTTTGTTTTTCCGATATTCGCTATTGTTATTATCATTGTTACTTTGATCGCTAACACGAACGGAATCACGTATCCCATTTACCATCGCAAAACGGACAGGTGAGAGACGTTTTTTGGCACCGCAGGTCAACAAAAACATCATTCCTACTCTGTGTCGCACCATCGCGCTTTTATTATTGTGTGTAAGGACATGTTATAATTACGAAATATTACGGAAAAGACTGATGACAAACTACCACAAAGACTGGATCTAATGTGTCTGCGCACGCAAAATTAATTTAAAATGGGATACTTGGTTCGAAACTGAAAAGTTGAAGACCCACACTGTCTTTTGCTCATGTAGATTAATAGATGTGTCTATCTAAATAAATTAGAAATCGATTGAAAATCCCAATTCGTAGATACTGACTCCTGATTTTGGTTTTAGGTTATTGCAAAAAAAGCACACATACTTATGATTAGGGGCTGTTTTATAAGTCCTACTTCTTTTACTCACTGTTGTTAATTCATAGACGTAAAAGTAGGAGATATTTCCACACACACCTAATAATACTGTATTTTTTAATAATCATTATTTTATAAGCAATGTACACGTGGAAAACCCTTTGTATAGAATTTATTGTAATAAGTAAATCAATAAATTATTATTTATACTCAGTATTCATCTGTTACATGTAAAATGATATTCTAAAAGATCTGTGAACTTAGTACTGTAAAATAGAAATATATAAGTATTAATAATAATTAATCATTTCCTTCTTTTAATTATTTATTATTGCTTACTAATACTAATTTTGCTTTGCTAATTCTACGTTCGTAACAAATTTCTATTAATTTTCTTCGGAAATATCAGACAGTTACCTACTTAGATACCAACTCAAATTTTTACGATTATTGGGATCCGTCAAATGGGAGGAGCCTAAAAACATGGCGCCGATTAGGGAAAATTTATCGTAGTTCCTATAGTGTACCGTGCAATTTCCAAGTTTTTAAATTACGATAAAATGATAAATATTGACACAATATGTGATTAGGCTGACACAAAGCCTCGGAAAGGAAATTTCGTTAAAGGTGAGCGTGTTTTTAATGCCAATCACATTATAAAATTCGGAAATAACAAATCCGAAAGCTAGCCTTCAAATTCCGTCAAGTTTACTGCCTACTTTTTACAAACAAACAAATTCCGGAATTCACTTCTTTGATACCTACTGCTTTCATCCAAGCTTCTATTAGTTTACTTTTTTCTCTAATTTTCCGAATATATTTTTTACATATATAAAACGGTTAGTTTTTATTGGAAAGTAGTTAATATAGGTGAAGAGTGAAGATCTATGTCTGAAGTGCTATTGCAGCTTTTTACTGAACATATTAACTTTTTATTTGATTTAACTTTAGAAGAAAACTTCGTCGACTCCATCAAAAAAAATTTTACTTTTTTAACGTGTTAATAAACAGTTCCTATGTAAATTTTTCCCTCATTCGAGTTATAAATATTGCCACCAGATAGTGTATGCCCATTTGACGGATCCCAATAATCGATATTGCATTTAGAAAAAGCAGTTAGGATACGATCAAAAAATTAAGGTAGAAAAGACAACACAAACGAAGTATGTACTTAGATTGTCTGACATGATCATTATCTGATATTGTGAGGGATATTATTAGCACTCATGTACTAACTAATTTTTCGAGCACCCTGTATGTCAATATCGAAGCAGGAATTGGGTTTTAGGCAACCAAAATATCACGTATTACTTCGAGTGTTCGAGTTCGTTGTAGAAAGTAAAAACTGTGGGTTGAAACCAGTGGTCAAGTGTTATAACAGGTCCATTTTCGATGTTTACAAGCAGTTATCATGGTGCCAGTTTAATTTTGATTAAGGATAAAAATGCAGAAACAACCAGAAAAAGGTAAGAAACATTCTGTTCGCATCGACCTAATTCCAAAAAACTCGACTCGCTCTTCCTTCGAATAACAGTGATAACGGTACAACTAATGGTAAAACTACAACCAGATAACACTGGCAAATTGAACATTTAATAATCCAGAAGGCACACATGTAGAAAATAAATGAACAAAAACTGTTTAAATGTTTTTGTTTTTTATACGTAAATACAAGCAATTAAGAATGTAACGTTTATTGTTTTTTCAAAGGCAACGATAATAATAATAATAATAATAATAATCGTAGCAATAAAATAACAAACATCGTGTTAGACATTGTAACAAACAAATTGGTTTGTGTATTTTGACTATTGGCCACCGATATCAAATATGCCTCCTTAATAATAACGTCATCGTAAATTGTTTCAGATGAAGATAATTCTTTAGAAGCTGTTTGTGCAGGTTGCTTGAACGTTATTGACGATGAAGAAGTTATCTCTGCTGTCGGAAACGAATGGCACCTCGAATGCTTTAGGTGAGTTAGTCATCAGAACGTTATTTATTAATTTGTTACCGAGTGTTACATTAGGAGAATTTAAATCGTTGAGCGACTGTCTTTGCCCAAATCCAGATTCTTTTTTGTTTTAAAATTACATATTAAAACAAAAAATGTGGTATAGATAGGCCCTTAATTATTACGTACGCAATAATAATAATCATATTTCAAGTTAAGAGGGTGTTATGTTTGTTACTACTTACTCAATCGCACCCTGATGGCGCTGCACACAAAAAATACAGAGGGATTATTGTTAACATCATGCTACGAAAGCATAGTAGGAGCGATCATTTTTTTTTTTTGAAATTTCGACTTGCAACTCGAAATTTCGATCGACGACTAGAAATTTTGACTTGCACCTTGAAACTTCGAGTTCAAACTCAATGTTTCAACGTAGTATATTGAATTGCCTATCAATGTTATGACAACTGTTAGGTATCTCTGTGATTTAGTTACTTTAGGTTGAGTTCGGTTTGGATTTCGCTTGTGTTGACTTTACCTACTATAACCATGTAATCCTAATGTAATCGAATTTATTAGAGATTGGTAGAAAGTGTTGACGTAATCAAGACCATTCTTAAAATTACCTTAAGTTACGATAGATTACGATAGGTTAGGCTGCAACTCAATAAAGATTTCGTGATACAAGTTAAAATTTCGATTTACAAATCGAAATTTCAGGTTGCAAGTCGAAATTACGAGTTACAAGTCAAAATTTCGAATTACAAATCGATATATGTTCTATGCCTTCTCAGGGTAACTCTAAATCTTGCTTTTTTTGTAATTTGTTTCTTTATTTAAAATTCTAAAACAAATTGTCAGAAATAAGCTTAAATGATTGATGTTATTATCTATTATTAAGTGCCNAAGAATTTTCTTAAAGAAGTACTATATACAAATGTACAAAAAAAACAGCATTTGTTTTTCAACGTTTCGTTTGCTTGAAGGTGGCCGTCCTCAGGAGTCTTCATCATACCAACGTCCTAAGATTTATCGGAGTTCTGTACAAAGAAAGGAGGCTCCATTTGGTCACGGAATATATCGCTGGGGGCACCCTGAGGGAATTAATACACGACTTATCCCAGCCTATCCCTTGGGAACAAAGAGTTTCTTTTGCAAAAGACATCGCTGCCGGCATGGCTTACCTCCATTCGATGAACATCATCCACAGAGATCTCAATTCTCACAATTGTTTAGTTAGAGAGGTAATTTATGTCGAAAATCAATACTATCGATCGTTCGTCACAGTTTTTGTTGTTAGGATAAAACGGTGATAGTGGCTGACTTTGGTTTAGCGCGGATCGTGTCCCATGATACCGGAAGTGTACGTAAAAATTCACCGAAAGGCGGGACCCACGGAGGAAAGAAGCAAGAGAGGAAGAAGAGATACACCGTGGTGGGAAATCCCTACTGGATGGCCCCGGAAATGATGAAAGGGAACAAATACGACGAAAAGGTTGACATTTTCAGCTTTGGAATTGTCCTTTGCGAGGTGAGTCTTAAGTCTATGTAATATAAAATAATTTAAGGTGTTCAGCATGTGATACATCATTATCAAATTGGTATTTCGAGAAAGATGGTCTCCTTTTTTGTAAGGAGGACTACTGGGCGAGATACGGAGAGTCCTGCCAACACTGCAGTGAGGTATTTGGAATAATTGCCGTGTTAGCCGAGTATTTTTTTAAAATAAATTATTAAACATTAATTTCAGATAATAACAGGCCCCGTAATGGTTGCAGGAGAACACAAATTTCATCCCGAATGTTTTTGTTGCGGGTCCTGCGGTGCCTTTATAGGAGATGGCGACTCTTACGCCCTTGTTGAAAGATCTAAACTCTACTGGTATGTTCAATCAATAATTAATATTGATTTACTTATTAATTAACGATAAGGAAAATTTTTAAAAATTTGTTTCTGATGAATCCAGTGGCCAGTGTTACAAAAGACAAATGCAACCCCTCGAAAAGACTGCAGGGAACCCATTCGGGGGTCGAAAACCCCATTCAATCCGACTGGTTGAGATACCTGGCGGACAAAAGGGCATAAAACTAGTTTCTAACCCGGTTAATGGAAATAGTCAACGTTTAACAATTTCAGAGTATGTACCAGAACCTAACCTACGATTTATTTCAATATATTCGATACCTACGCACTACGCAAAAACAAAAACGAATCTAAAACTTATTACTTTTTCTAATGTTTACTAATTAAATAATAATTACTATTTTTAAACTTCTCTAACTCGAATCTCTTTAATAAAAACCAACTAGTTTTGTTCGAGTTAGAGAAAATTCCTACATTCACCTTCACACTTTTTAATTTTATTTACATTATTACATTATTTTGCAATATTTATTAAATTATCAATATTATAACATTGCTTTATGNAAGCCTAGGACATCTATTAATTTTGGCTCTTTTGGTCCAAATATAAGCAGTTTCAAATTGCTACGTGTTTATTTTCCACAGCTTATGTATTTCATGGTCAAATCTAAGGTTAATAGTCGAAAGAGATGCAATTTTTATAATTACAATAATTAACTTTCGTCAATTAATTTCAAAGGCAAATTACACAATATAAATCACTGATGGTTTCTAATTTTATTGTCAGATTCTTGATTTGCTAATTTATTTTATTGACTGATAGTAATGATTGAAGCAAGAACAGATGACAAAGTATTAATTAAAAAGAAAACAAAAAGTTTTTACTATTTACGAAAAAAAAAAAGAGTAGAAACAAAAGAAAAGCTTTACAAAAAAACAAAAGAAAATTAAGAATTCTATTTTACTTCGGAAAACTTCAGATGTCAATTGTTTTTCTTTTTCATTTTATTGATAGGCTTGACATGAACAATGATCTGATGTCACTGCACATAGGTGACAGAATTTTAGAAATAAATGGAATTCCAGTCAAAGCAACGTCTTTGGAAAACGTAGAGAATTTATTGAAATATTCCGATACAGTTTTACAGGTACGACAATTTGTTGTCTCTTAATTTAAAAAAGAAATTATAATTATTTTAATTGTTTTCTTCAGCTAACGATAGAGCATGACCCAGAAGCGGTGTCACGCCGGAAACTGTCGTTGGCAAAGCCCAAATTGTCCCTACCCCTATCGACTACCCAAAGTGATACCAACATTCCAACAAAAATTGAACAATCCGTACCTGAACCCCACTTGCCACAAAGCGACCGCGAAATATCAAAAAGTAACGACGACTTAATAGAAAATGCCACAATTTTACCTGATAGCAAAGACAACAGAGTAAATGATCCAAAAACAGACGAACACTTCAATAAACCAAAATCAAACAAAGACAGACTTTTCAAAAGAAAAGATGAAGGCTATATGAGCGGCACAAGATCAAGACAGCTGAGAAAAAAGAATAACGAACTAGAAACTAGACAATCTTTAGACAAAGAGAGAAGTTCTTCAATGAGTAGACTTTTAGACGAGTAAGTACCTCGTATATGCATACATTTTATATCCATTAATTTATTCTTCTTCAGTCTTACAAATTCGAAACGTTGTAACGATTTGTCGAGAGCCCATTCGTTCCTGGAACCTCGTCCTCAGCAGAGGGTCTTCAGGGCTTCGGACTTGGTAAAAGGCGAGCTTTTGGGTCAAGGTTTTTTCGGTCAGGTGTACAAGGTCACAACAAAAGACACCTCCGAAGTTATGGTCCTCAAGGAACTTTACAGGGTCGACGAAGAAGCCCAAAAAAATTTTCTTAAAGAAGTACTATATACAAATGTACAAAAAAAACAGCATTTGTTTTTCAACGTTTCGTTTGCTTGAAGGTGGCCGTCCTCAGGAGTCTTCATCATACCAACGTCCTAAGATTTATCGGAGTTCTGTACAAAGAAAGGAGGCTCCATTTGGTCACGGAATATATCGCTGGGGGCACCCTGAGGGAATTAATACACGACTTATCCCAGCCTATCCCTTGGGAACAAAGAGTTTCTTTTGCAAAAGACATCGCTGCCGGCATGGCTTACCTCCATTCGATGAACATCATCCACAGAGATCTCAATTCTCACAATTGTTTAGTTAGAGAGGTAATTTATGTCGAAAATCAATACTATCGATCGTTCGTCACAGTTTTTGTTGTTAGGATAAAACGGTGATAGTGGCTGACTTTGGTTTAGCGCGGATCGTGTCCCATGACACCGGAAGTGTACGTAAAAATTCACCAAAAGGCGGGACCCACGGAGGAAAGAAGCAAGAGAGGAAGAAGAGATACACCGTGGTGGGAAATCCCTACTGGATGGCCCCGGAAATGATGAAAGGGAACAAATACGACGAAAAGGTTGACATTTTCAGCTTTGGAATTGTCCTTTGCGAGGTGAGTCTTCAAAAATTCTTTGTCATTCGCTGCAGTAGTAATAATATCAAGCGGGTGCCTACGTGTGTGTGTGTGTATGTGTGTGTTGTTTTTTTGTCCTACTAATCTTCCTGTTATGTCCGCTTTTTGAAGATAATCGGGAGGGTCCAGGCAGATCCCGATTATCTCCCGAGATCCAACGACTTTGGCTTGAACCAAGCGGCTTTCAAAGAAAAATTTTGCTCCACGTGTCCCGAACCCTTTTATAAAATCGCATTCCTCTGCACAGATCTGAATCCAGACAAGAGGCAAGTAAATTTCTCAAACAGCCAACCAACTGGCCAATCAATAATATCGATTTTTATAATAAATGTCTCTCTGTAGACCGCCATTCGACGTAACGGAAGTGTGGTTGGAGTCGCTGTCCATGCATTTATCCGTCGGTATGCCCCTGCCGGCCGATCTGGTCTTCGACATAGACCACTACAGGGGTCAGAGTTCGAGTTCGTCCGGTAGCACGACTCCCGAAGGTCTAGCATCAGGTCACAGGAGCCCCGTGCTCCTGCCCATATGCGAAGACAAGCTAAACCTCAGTCACAAAGACGACGACGACACCAAAATAGTCCTCAGCGCGGAAAACCTGAAACCCATCATCAAGGTTTCCAGTTCCGACAACCTGTTACGTAGCAACGGTACAAAATCGATACTGAAAGCGCCAGGAACCGGGAATATGAGCAAAAGTTGCGAAAATTGCAGCAAGGATATGAAGGACTTGAACAGAGGCGACGGAGCCAAAAGTTGCGAGAATTTTGGTACCAAAGGACTCGAAGTTAAGGTCTTGGAAAAAGTGCCATGTTCAGAAAACTTAACCAAAAAACCTCAACAGAGCAAGGAACAAGCCGAATGGACCTTTGACGTAACCAAAAGACTTTTGCCCCTTCTGGCAACGAAAAATCTGTTAGAAAATGACACGACCCCTTGCAGGACGCATGCCCGTAAATTAACCAGGAAGCAGGTCCTCAGAGAACAAGGGAAAACGACAAAAACCCCGGAAAAACCTACCACAAGTCTCAGTATACAAAGTATGAATTTAAAGCATGTCACTCCGTCGGATGTCACGCAGAAGTTCGTAAGCAATTTCAAACCTAAACCCCTGATAAGCATAAAACCTTACGAACCAAGTGAAAAGAGTCCACCAGAAACGGTTTCCTACAAACCCAAAACCGAAATTCCTGCACCATTCCATTCTCATAGAAAGGACCAAGTGTCACAGCCAGTCATTCCAAAGAGTTCCAATTTAGTCCAAGAACAAGCAAAAAAGTCGGTTAACTTAAACTCCTTGAATGGTACAAGTAGAAACGTCTTCACCAAACCTGTCACTAGTCCAACACCATCGAGGTCTAACAATGGCGAAAACAAACGATTTTTCAGCATCTCCCCGGAATGGTCCTCGTCTAAACGAACACTTGAAATTGCCTGTAAAAACCCGGAAACCTTCAGGCCTTCTTCAAGCAGTTTAGAAGAGCAAAGGAGAATCTTTGGAAGCCCGGGACTTTTCAGGCGTCGCATAGACGATAACTGTCCAGGACGATCGCCCAGCCTCGTGCGCAACATAATCAACACCTTGAACAGAAGGGATAACAAAGAATTATTCTTCGATGGAAGACAGACGTTTGGACGGAGTTCCATGAAAGTGGTAGGGAGTCCCAGGATGGAAAAAACCGAGCCTACTAGAAGTTGTAGTCCCGTTGAATTTACCGCACTTTAATTAGTTAGATAATTAACAAAAGGTAAGAATTGTCAAATGACAAACGCAAAAACAATTTCGTTTTTTTTTTCGTACCAACGACATTTTCTTTGCCAAATGACAAACAGAAAAGCAATTTTGTTTTTTCGTTTTTGTTTCGAAAATTCTCAATTCGATACTTTTCTTTGAAGAATGTCATTTATTTTTTTATTTATAATAACGCAATTCTCATTGTAATTTTTCGAATCAAAATATTGCCTCGAATTTTTGCAACTGTTAGGGTGCTTCTATCTAGGTGACTATACATACAGACTATATAAAGACAAATAAATATTTATTGTAAATAGACCGTTTAGCGTACTTAATATTCTTTGAATCGCAAAGAAAATATAATTATAATTTTTTTGCATTAGCCAAAAATTTATGAACAAAAATTTATGTTCTTCAAATTATAATTTTATTTATTTAGGTGTCAAAAATGCATAGATTTTTCGGTCAAATAATTAAAAAAAAAATATGTGCACTTATTTTTTTTCTACAAATTTTATTTTGGATATTTAAAAATGATTTACTTACAATATCGTTTTCTAAAAAAATTAAATTACAAAAATTGAATCTCTTAGCGAATTGGAAAGAATTAGTAAACTTTAACAAGTGTCTTAAACGAATGTAACTATTTTTAGAAAATATCGACAAGAATA